GATATTACAATGTACAGATATTAGATTATGGACGGGTATATTGGCTCATATACCATAATGGCTACGCCAATAAAAAGTCTTGAATTGCATTATCCAATGATCCAGTTTTTACTAATCGCTGATATTGAATATGCTGTTCAAATAGATAATTAATGAATCACCTTTTCACCATTACTGGCAGTCAGGGTGATATCTGTGAAAAAGCCCTCCTTCAATGCAGAAAGTAAGGAATATGGACCTTGTGAAAGATTTGTAGAGTCTACTTGATCCACCTAGGTTGAAAACACACGTATTTGAAAAATCAATTAAAAGTTCATGCAAATGAAAAGATAAATAGGACTCCACCACAAAATAATTTGCCACAACTATTTAAGTATTACAGCAGCTATCATAACCTTCAGTAGAACTTAAGAATAGAGCAGAAAATAATAAGACTAATAAATGATCATTAATTTTCTTTTTAGAGTGCCACCTTTGACCAATTTCTGAAAAGTTATTACTCATGATAAATAATGATGTGTCATTCTCTAAGGAGAGCTGTACTACACTAAACTGAAAGTGTATATAGTTATTATAGTTTCTGTACTTTCTAGCTAAAGTACTTCTATCTCATTTTGCTGATTATATACATCTCATTGTAGTGGTCTCTGAGAAACCATTAGTGGATGAAATTATTATTTAATTGTTCTTGTTAATTTGGTGCTCATTCTGAATTCATTATTTTACACACCAGGAATTTGGTTTTACCTTTCTAGTGTTAATTTTTTGTTAGTCAGGAAACACTTAATGCACAGCTTTAATTCAAACATATTTTTACCTTTTGACAGCACAACTTTAAATGTCTGTCATAACACAAGACCAGCTGGTTTGCTTCAAGTGAACACTAGAGAGGAAAAATTACAGAAAAATTGAAAGGGAATGAGAAACAGTATCACTGACTCTGAACAAAAAGGAACTTTACAAAGAAACTACAGAAACATGCATGCAAAATGCAACACTAGAAGGGCCGAAGGAGAGAAAAGAAGAACAAAGGAGAAAGAATGGAAGGAATTAGCGTAGAGCACTGGTTATTAATTTAGCAATTTATTACTTTTGACTTACTTTTAGTGCAATTTTGTCAACATTGCTACCATAACAAACCAACTCCCCTGAAAAGCCATCAACCTGCACAAGAAAAAGAAGCAAGACTGTTTGTCCCCTGTAACAATTCATTAACAATTTTGTGTCGATTTAAAAAAATTGGTATTAACAAAGATTTAGTAATACATAGACAGGTAAAACAAGCGATATAATATCCCAATGTTTCGGCGACTTCATCACATCATAATATCAAGGGTACAAATGAAAATGAAATTAACAAATGCGAATTCAAGATTGACCCAAAATAATTTCAGGTGTTTTATACCCATTAACAATTGTTTTTAAATAGAGTCCAGTTATTTACTTTGTAAACAGTATGAAAAATAACACTACTACATCAAAAATTGCATTACAATTTGGAAGCAATTTGTTTTAATTACCAAAGAGAATCTCCATATCATCCTGTGGAAAAACACTTCAGGGGTGTTACTTTAATTTGTAGTATTCAATCACAAAGCTTACAAAAATTAACTTGTCTAAATTCCTCTTACCACAAATGTTTCACAAGAAAAGAAAGGAAGTGTATCTTGTTCTGATGTTGGTGGCACACTCCAGTTCAGATCACCACCTTCCTCTAAACTAAACTTTACCCTGGAAAAGGAAACAGATCATCAATCCTAAACAGAGATTTAAAATTATGCAAAATTTAAATATTTTTAATAAAAAAAAACTTACAGAAATATCCTGGAGCACAGGGAAACAAGACACAGTTTTAGATAGCAGGGAATTAAAATATGCATGATTATAAATGACTGAGTGCCTAATTATATTATTATAAGTTACTGAAAAATGATCTGGACGAGAAATTGCTTCACATTTTAAGTAATAGCAGATAGTGGGAGATCTAGTGTGATGGACTCCAGGTTAAGAAGTCTCAGTTCGAGATCTGGCCATTGTCAATGTGCTGTGTTCTTGGGTAAAAAAATCTTCTCACAAAGTGCCTCTCTCCACCCCGGAATATAAATCTACACCAGCAAATTAACAGGGAAATCTGATTAAATGCTGGAGAGGGGGGTAATAGCTTGCAATGGACTAGCATCCCATCCAGGGAGGGAACAATAATTCTCCTTGTTACTTCTTGCTGAGGAAACCAAGACAAGCTCCCACTGGGTGGGTCACTTAGCTTGAATACAGACCTAACTTTTCTCATAAGACAAGCCAGAGTGAAGTGAGGTACCTTTCTGCTGTTTCAATAATGTTACTGCAGTTTTAATAATTTTTCAATTCTGCGATATGTTTCAATTAGATTTGCTCCCCAAAATTTCCATTCTTAAATTATGACTGAGTTTCATGGCAACTTCCCAGGATGTGTCCTTATTCGTTGGATAGAGCTGTATTTTAAAAATTACAAAAATGGTCAAAAATAATATAGTGGCATAAAATTAATCATTTTAATATTAACTTATGCTGTTAGCTCTAAAGATGCACAGTCCACCTCTAAAAATAAAGCAATGAACTACTGCATCAAACTAACGCTGCAGAGCTGGATGTTTGACAACATCCCCCAAAAAAATTTTATAGCTTGTTGAAGTATTGCAACGGACATAAACGTAAGAAACTAAACTAGAATTGAAGCCGACAAAATTAAACGTACCATATCACCAAGAAAAATTCATGCTCACAGACAGAAAATGGAATGAGGACAATTCAAATCACTATATTTTACAGAAATTAATAGAAACTTACCCTTCGACGTCTGGATAGCTCTCTTCTTGTAGTTTGCAAGACACTATCTGAAAACGATTATTGACAAGAGAAATGATATATGTCAGCAAAACTGAAACCAATCTTGAATTTTTGTGGTAATAGTACGTCTGGGATTTGCTGTTACCTCCCAACAGCCGAGCAGATCTTCCTCTGAAGGTTTTCTATCACAAAACTCATCCATTTAGCTGGAATTAGTAATAATTACTTCATTACATGGATAATCTCTCCGGTATATTGACAAGAACTTCTGTGTTTTCATTGAATCCCTATTCTTCGACGCGACGAGACTGGTTCGAAATAAAGACTCTTCGGTTAAGATCGGCTTGGATCGGCACTTGCTCGGTCAAGCTCGGCTATTGGTAGGTTTAAGCATGCGCCTGTGCGTCGTGGGTAAAGGTAAATAAATAATAAGTGGTCGAAGTGAGACGAGAACGAGAGTCTACGAAGTCTGTTTTGATCCAGTCATAAAATGTCTCTATCCTACTCTTTGGAGGAGAATTATTCTCTGTTGCCACTTGAAGATTCATTTGTACCAAATGAGCTGGGTTCACTCTCACGTCACGGACGTGTCCAAGGTTATGATGAAGACTTTGATCCGCCGTTGGACAGCAAGTACAAATGTACCATTTGTCATCTTGGTCTTCGAGATCCTGTTCAGACGTTTTGCGGCCACAGATTCTGTAAAGAATGTTTTTTACACTCAATAAGGTACTATATGAAATGTAGTTGAAGTACGGATATTGTATTACAATGATTTTAAAATAGACAAATAGTCGAAAAATTTAGGGAAGCAGAAATAACTAAAAACTAAGCTAATATAAATATTTTGAATCCCATCATTTCCTTAACGTTTCTTTTCTTAAAAACTAAAAGATTAATTGGCAAATTGGATTGATTTTTTGGTGATTGGTTCAGCAGTCTGAAGTGTGATTTTGGGCCGATTTCCATCGATCGATCGCGAACTGAATTAATGCTCGATCGATTGCCTGAGTTTACACATCTACCTTTTAGTAGGCGGCTGCCTGATTTCAGTGTATACTGAAAGAGTACTTTGGGAAAGTACAGGTGTCTTCGTGTATGAATGACGGTCAATCATTTCTCAAAAAGAGAAGCTTAGACTCTAAACCATGAATATAAGCCAAACAAATTTGTGGAAAATGTTATATGACAGTCACAAATGTAATTTGTAATTTTCAAGATTAAACTATACCTAAGTGTACTTAAGTCAGACAGAACACATTACGACAGGATAGACTTATGAATGGTAATACCAATAGCTCATGTCACATGTAGGGCTCTTCACTCAGAACTTGTCACTGAATAGGTGGTGAGATGCACAGCCTATCAGATTGAAGCTTGTGTCGTAGGATGGGAAAAAGATTCAAGCTAGTTATGCACATCCTCTATTACTTGCTTTAGGGATGGTGATGGTGACTCCCTTTGCCCTTTGGATAAAAAAACTCTGTCAGAATCACAGGTAATTTAGCACTTTTCTCATAACATTTAACTCCCAAGATCTAAATAATAATTCAACATACCATTATTGTGTGGTTCAGTACTTACAATTTTAGAAGTGAGAATTTAGTGGTCAATTAAACACATCCCCCCTAGTTGATCAATTTTTTACTTCTCATCACCTTTCTCTTGAAAAAGGTACAGATGTGGTGAGGTGAATTATTCCTTGGAGTGAAAGGGCCAAGTTGAAGATAAAGGATCTTAATAATTTCATTTATGCCAGGGTGCACTTGTGGGGGCATAATGAAGTTAAGAGACTGAAAAATACTTTTTTAATGAGGCTTTTAGGGAGAAATTAAAAGCAGGTCGGAGCATGTACTCTCTACATGTACATGTAATCTCATGTACATGTAATCTCTGTACTCTTTGTACTTACATGTACTCTCTGTACTTACATGTACATGTAATCTCATGTACATGTAATCTCTACATGTACATGTAATCTCTGTACATGTAATCTCTGTACTCTAACAGTGCTGTCACTAAAACAGAATAGGGGCACTTATTGGAATGAGAATGGTTATCCAATGGGGGTGCTTATTAGAAAGGGAGGCCTTATTGGAAGGAAGGCACTAAATTAAATCATTAGGCTAAAAGTTTTGAAATCTCAAAATTATCTGAAGACATTGTCATACACATTTTTAGTCAAACTTATCAGCTGCAGGTACCTGATGGCAGAGATAAAGTTTATCATGAATTTGAAAAAAAGTGTGGTCATTGTAATTAATCCCAAAGGTATAGTAAGATTAAATTGTAACAAAAATTGGCTGATTGTAAGTCAATTTTGTTTTCCTCTCTATTTCTCAGTTTTACCCAGACAAATTTGTGGAGCGGGAATTATTGGAATTTGAAGTATTATGTCGAGCCAAGAAACAATCTGGGTGTCCTTGGAAAGGTCCACTTTCAAGTTTAGAGGTATGAAAAGGCTGACCCTTTGAGATAAAGTTCCAACTTGACTAGCGCAGCAGAAGATGTCAGTTTATACTGAGTCCAGTCAAACTCAGAAATGTTGAACACTTTGATTTGAATGTGACAGGGCATTTGTACACTGACTAAACCTGATAAAGTTTAAGAAGCCCAAGCAAACTTTAAACTAATTATTAGTGCAGTTTGCACTTTTGTTTTTGAACATCTTATTGGCACAGAAACACTTCATAAATGATTCCAAAGTTCATGATTTTTCAAATTTTACAGTTTTTAAGGGACAAAAGACTCTTAAAGACTTAGACAGGAGTATAGAATTTCACAGCCCATGTATTTATCTCTCTGTGATCCCATGGAATACATGGCACCAGTAGTTATGAAGTTATTTATGATGTAAAAAAGGTAGAAATCAAAGATGGTCAAAGGTTTTAAAAAACTTAAAAAAGGCAATGCCTTTACTTTTTTGGAAAGTTTTTCTTAAACTTCCTTAGTTGCGCTTGAAGCTCAACTCAGCCAACTTTTCATTTTTTGGATAGAATATCTACTCCGGCTCTTATTCTTTTATTGATTGGATTAACAATACTTATTTTCATATTTTGAATGACAGGATCATTTAAGCAGATGCCAACTTGTTGTTGTGAATTGTGAGCATAACTGTGGCAAGCAGCTACAGAGGAAAGACATCCACCAACACATGGAAGCTGAATGTTTGTACAGGAAAACTCCTTGTGAACATTGTGAGGATCCAGTTTTGTGGAGTGAATTTGAGGTGGAGTTTAAATTACAAAAAATGATTAGAAGAATATATATAGAATGTTTGTTTTCAAGAACTTTGTTGTGTATTAATTGAACATGTCAATTATGAATTAAAACATATTTTGCATTCTTGTGTTTAAAAATCCCCATGCTCTTATCTTAATGATGTCAGTCACGTGTTACATAATCACTGTAGCAGCAGGTGCCGCTTCCAAAGTCAGGATTATTTTACAAGCTACTCTTAGGAACAAAGAATTTATGAAAATACCAATGATTATTTGGCTAGTATTTATATAAATACATCCAGTCAATTAATGGGTAAGAAGATGCAATCATGTAAAGTTCAACTTGGCTTATCACAAGTTGAAGTAACTTTTAAGAACAGTCTCTGAATGAATATTTTGATTGATTTAAGTGTTAATTATATAGGAGCAGTAAACTGCATTTACATAACTGTCCCTATGCCTGTAGTTACCAGAGAGAGACCATTAATGTGCATATTATTTAATATTTATTACTTTTAGTTCTTTTAAGTACCCATTTAAAACACATTAATTTTTTAATTTAGAATTGTATTGACTGCTGACCTTGTTTTGTATTTACGATCACCATAAGCACTCATTTCAGAGGAAACAAGTACAATATTATAAATGAATTGTAAGAGTTATTTAATTTGTAACGTTTCCCTTTATATTTAGATGAAGCTCCACCTGGAACAGCAATGTCCAAATGTGAAGATAGAATGTCCATTTAACCTAGTGGGTTGTGCATTTGAGGTAACAAAACATAATTGTCACCAGATGTTAAAGAGATTTCAGCTTTACTGACTTTGAAATAGCAGGCTTGTCAAAATATGCTGGCAGCCACTGCATTTTGCTGTCTGCTCTAAAAGTGTATCTGCTATATACTGATCCCTCTGGCTCAATTTTCTGCATGGTAGCATGACATCAGTTGTGCCACCTACTTTGTATCACAGTCTCCTTACTCAAAACCTTTTTTCACCATGCACTCAAATAATTTGAATGCCATTTTCAGTCTGCAACGGTTTCAGGTGTTTTAGTATGTTTACTTACTAATTATATGGTGCAATTTATGATCCTCCCAAAGCTAGGGGCCTGAAAAATTATAGTTCTTGAGTCCATACCTAGTTAGACTTATAAAACCAACCTCTTCATATTTTTAGGGTTTGCGATGTGATGCTGAAAAGCACCTTGTTAATGATCATATCTGCGAAATCATGGATTTGATAAAAATTGCTGTCAGCTATCAAATTGAAGTCATCAGAAAAGGTTTAAACCAAACAGAAGTCAAATCAAAGAGTGAAAATGAAGCTATTATAGACAAACAGGGAAAACAGATTCAGGAGCTAGAACGTGAAGTTGGTTGCCTCAAACAAACTCTTACCAACAAAGTGAACTGGTTTGAATTCCAGCTGAGTAAAATGCACAATTTGATGCTTAAACAGGAAATCAAGTAAGTGTCCTGTTTTGTTCTATTTTAAAAATGTTCAACTTGTTAATTAGTTAACAGGTTTATAATAAAATTGTGTTTCTAAACCTGTCTGTTTTTAGACAAGTCAAGATGAGCTAATTGTTTTAGCACTTAGAAATGTTGAAAATCTCTCACTCTTGGATTCCTCACTGTTTATCCAATCCTGGTGCTACTTTGACGGTTGACAGAGTGTTTACAGCTGGTTATGCCTTAATGGTTGGCTCTATAAAGCCAGTCAAGTGACATCAAAAAGCTTTTTTTGTAACTAGGTTATTTGGTCAGCATAAAACGCAGACTGCAGACTGCAGACTGCGGACTGCGGACTGCAGACTGCAGACCGGGGGTAAAATGAAGACTGAGGGTAAAATGCAGACTGCAGACCAGGGGTAAAATGCAGACTGAAGGTAAAATATTAATAATAAAAAACGAGTCTTAAGGATGAAATAAAGAGTGTTCGTACCCGTAAAATAATGTCACGTCAGGACTTACGAAACACACAAAGGCCGCTTCATGTTATAATTTTTCGTGTTTAGATAGCCCAATTTCACCTTTCAGCAATATCAATTCACAAAACTCTTGATACATTGAAGTCGAGTACAAAGATTGAATGTCTTTCACCAACTATGCTTGATACCTACAAGTTTACCTTGCCTTGTTGTTGTGCTGTCGTGTTTTGCTTGCCTTTTTTTTGAACGCTGAAAGAGTTACTCGGTCCCAGACCTATTCGCGAAAGCACAATTCAAAATGGCCGACATGTAAACAAAGGTAAGATGCATAGCCTAGACGAGTTCACGCTTGACGATGCATCATGGGTGATCAGGACATTGCTCAAAACAAAATGGCGGACGCGCTTCGATGAGTCTTTGGTTTCATTCATATTCATGTCCTTTGTTCTAGGTTAGCATACTCAGTTAGCGTCTCAAACCATTAACTACTATAGAAGAAGATACAGAGAGTTTATTTTTACAGTTTTTAGAGTCTATTTTATTCACAAAAACGTAGAAAATATACAAGGGCTTTGCCAGTTTATCGCTGTTGTGTTGGAGGCTGCGACAACGATTCGAGATACAAAGAGAAAATTGTAAAGAGAAGCCACGTTGAGGGCGAACTCCGTTGGTATCATTTCCCTAAACAATCAGAGAAGACAGAGCAATGGACTAAGAACGTTTCAAAAGGCCTGTCTGGCTTTGTTGCCAGCGACCACAAGACTGTTTGCTCCAACCATTTCGAGTACGGAAAGCCAACATTCGCTTCTCCGAATCCAACGCTATTCCTTGTGCCTAGCGACAAGAACAAGTCATCGCCAAGAAAGCGAAAGCTACCAACTAGGACGTCAGAAGGCCCATCAACTAAATAAACTAAAGAACTCAAGTAAAAGGAGACAGGGTCCCAATGCACCATAATAAACCCTCCGGCTTATTCAAGCCTAACATTTGCTCATTTGACACGTGAACACGATGTTAATAATTTTACTGGTTTAACAGTTCAGAGTTTTCGATTAATCTTCGACCATATCAAAGGAAAAGCTTCAGTGATGCACTACTGGAAAGGCCCTAAAAGAACAGGGGACACGTACAAACTTAAAATTGATAGACAAGTTAGAGCCCTCACTTTATAGCAAGAATTTCTGCTTACCATGATGAAGCTCAGACTTGGTTGTATTCCTCTTTGACCTAGCATTTAGATTTGATACTACAGCATCAGCAACAAGCTCAATATTCACCACATGGTTCAAGTTCCTGGCAAAAGAACTGAAGTGGCTGATAGTATGGCCAGACAGAGTAGTTACACACAGGAATCTTCCTGATATGTTTAGGAAGTACTACCCTAAGTGTAGAGTTATACTGGATTGCACTGAAATCTACATTGAAACACCATCTGATTTGGCAGTAGCTGCCCAGTGCTGGTCTGATTATAAACATCACACCATTAAATTTCTTGTTGGCATTACTCCCAATGGTGCAATATCATTCCTATCTGATGTTTATGGTGGAAGAGCTAGTGACCTATTTATTGTTGAAGACTGTGGTTTTGTTAACTACCTACAGCCTCATGATCAAGTTATGGTAGACCGCGGATTTACTTGCATTTTAACAATGTTCACTGGCTTTACCTCCCTCAAAACATTGTAACCTTCAAATGTCAGGGACTGATGTCAGGGAAACCTCACTTATAGCCAATGTCCAAATCTGTGTTGAGCAAGCAATACGAAGAATTAAATGCTTTGAGATCTTAAAGAAAGAATTAGCAATCACCCTGCTACCACCTGCAGATGATATTGTAGTTCTTTGCTCAGCACTGTGTAATTTGT